AGAACCCAGGCCTGCTACAGGCTCTCTTTGAAGAGTAAGTTGGTGATACTATCAGAGCCAAGTCATGCAGTCAGTCATCCTCTCACATTCCTTTGGGTTTTAATTAAACAATTACTTTTCAGCTTTCCTTAAGTTTCAAGACTAAATAATGTAGGACTTATTTCCTCAGTTAAGGAGAGAGTCATTATCTGTTGCTTTGAGCCTAGACTGAAAAAATATCACAGTTTCCCAGAAAGCTGTTTAAGTTCTTAAAACTGAATTTGGGGTTTTTGCTTTATTCTGTAACAAATTCTTGCCTTGTCTGGATAAGGTATTACAGATTTGAAGTTACTTTGACAAGTGACCTCAGGAACTGACCTAAATACCAATATCTCATTTTCTGTAAAATAAGAGCTGATGCTCCTTTGCTGGGGACTTGGAGGTTTAGCTAATTCTGTTCCACTGAACAACAGAAATATTTTATTTTTTTTATTATTATTATTATTAGAAGCAAATGAGTAGCATGCCTGCAAAGAATTAGGCAGCTTGCTCTCATTTCAAGACAGGAGACACACTTTGTGGTTTGGTGAAAGTAGTTTAATAAAAAAATGCCTGATTGCACTAAGGGATAGTGGTGGGTGAGGGGCAGAAGAAGAAAGCATAAAAGTGAAACTCCTCCAAAAGCAGAGTTTCAAGTTTATGAAGCCATGCAAATCTTATCAGGAGGCATAACAAGACAGTGAAGTACAAAAGAGACATTTCCCTTTAGATATTATGAGAGGTTGTTTGGTAAAACCATGATTATCCTTGAACTGCAGTCCTTGATGGTGGATCATGCCCCTGAGTGTTTTGACTCCATCAGACCCTCTCTCACCGCTCCAACATGCTTCTTCCCTTTTACTGTCACCATCTACAGGCTCTGTCTCCAGACAACAAAACAAACTGTGTATGATAACCAAGCTCACCCACTCTTTACAAAAAACTTTTAATTTAATTTATCTGGTGCACCTCAGTGGAGAGCAGGTGCTGAGTGGCAGCTGCTGTGGTGGTCAGCCCTGGCAGTGCAGGAAAGCCCAGGCAATGCTCCCCAGCACAGCTCGGGCTCCCTTGCTCTGCTTGCTCTGTGCCTGACCTTGCCAGCAATCAAGGAAGTGTTTTATTTCCACTTTTTTTTTTTAGATTAGCATAATACTGTTCAGCAAAGTTCAGTGCCAACAGTAACATTTTATGTGGAAAATGAAATGCCTCCTTGAAAGAACAGATACGCAGGATCTGTCTGCTGTCAAGGGCTAGTTCCTGCCTTTGAATTTTAGGTAACTTCCATTCATCATTTCCAAGTATTTAGCATGCAAACCACAGCCATGCTCTTTCCAAAGGGAATGTTTACTAAATTAAACATTAAAGGAATATGAAAGTGATTCTCTATTCTAATGACACTTAATTAGAAATAAAACATGGAAATAGACTAAAATAATTAGTCTTAATAAGCAGTAATTGCCAAGTCTTGTGCAATAGAATAGCCTTCACAATTTGGAGATGGGGAATAATGATGCTGTGGAGCTACTAACAGGCACTGATTTGAATATTAATTTCACTTGTAGAGTGTACTTAAGTTGTTTTCTTAGACTACATGGTCCCAACCACTGAGATCCTTGTGTCCTTAATATCCATCAGGATAGTATCCATCCTGCTATCCATCAGAATAAATGTATGTTGGATCAAGACCATCTGAGGCAACTTCAAGTACAGAGGTCAATAATGAAATTTGATAATTCTTCATTTATGTAATGCAGAAGTTTATCCTATATACAAAGAGGCTGGTTGTCTGTACTTCGTGCTTTGGACCAATTTTTGCTTCAAGTTTCAGGGCAGCAGTAGCCCCCCATGTGCAGAGATCAGGCAAACCACTACTCCAGCTGAAGTAGGTAATAAAACCAAACTTTTTTTACTGTTAGTTTGACTTTCTGAATCTTGAGAATGAAAGTGTGGCTGCCTATACAGTGATTATCCCACGTATTGTGAGAGCTGTGCCAAACTGGTACTGCACATTATGTGGCTGAGCCTCCCAGGCTGGACCAGGTTTCTTTGGGAAAGTGCAGATTAACAGCATGTCTGCTTCAGTCTCACTGTCTCTATCTAAAGCTCACTGAGCCCAGTTCTCATCCCAAGTGTCTAATAACAAAAATGCCAACATGGCAAAGAGGAAGCAAGTGTTGTTTAGTGCAGCTTGACACTGTATGTCTATGCCCTAAAGTTCAGTAAGTCTTTTGCAGTCCCTTTTAATTGGAAAAACACTACAACTAAATTTAAAAATAATCCTATACTTCTATATGTTTTTCCTAAGAGAATTTCGAAGTGTTTTGGTGAATGCAGGAAATTATTTTATACAGAAATTGTGTGGGGTTCCTTGTGTTTGAGCTAGTCTACAAAGAACCGAGCAGGATCCTGCTAAGACAGCAACCAGACTGATGGCTGTGATGAGTGATCCTTTAGTCCCCCTTATAGCAACAAGGCCAGGGTTGAGAAGACAGAGAACTGAAGATAATGCTCTGCTAAAAGATCAGTCCTACAAAAGGAGGGAGGAAGATGTCAGCAGCTAAAAGTCCAAAGGATAGCCAAAATCGGCAGTCCACACTGGTATTGAGAATGTAAGGAAACTGAGACCATCCCTTTGAAGAGGACTAATTATGATGCCAAGAGTAAGCAGCCCTTCCTCTCCACTTTCTATCCAGTGAATATAACTTCACCCTATTATGCCATGGTTTGATGACAGAGTAAATGTAGCACTATGACTCTGAGCTGGATCAAAAATGTCAAGGCTGTGTAAAACAGAGTGCTGACTCTGCCTCTTTTTTGGGCTTAAATTAATTTGTTTAAAAAAAATGTTGACAGGCTAACTTTACACCAGATCAGATATCGCCTGCCTAGGCCCTGTAATGATACCATATCAGGTATCACCCATCTTCCTGTAGCTACTGTAAAAATGTAAAACCAACATCAGTTCTGTGCTTGGGCTAAACCAAAAGTGTGTGCCTGCACCTGAGCTGAATCGAATTTATATTAATGAGCTGATCTGACAATGCACCAAAGTAGTATTCATGATCCTTGACCAACAGCCTTGAATGCCAGTGTAATCTAGATAGCATCAGTTCGCGTGATCTTTAATCTATTTCTGGGTGTTTTTCTGCCATAAAAAGATACTCTGTTTCGAAAGGACTTCAGTTTGTGTCAGTGTGTGACCCTGCTGTTTACAGCTCCTGAAGAAAAAACTCACGCCAAACCTGTTGGGCCTGCTGGCTATCAGGACTGGCAATCGAGGGAATGAATCCCATCTCGCAGGGAAGGAGAGCGCTGCCATCCTGCAGTGCACGCTCTGACAGGATCTCCAGGAACTTGCTAAGATCCTCGGTGAGCACCACCTAGAGCTCACCACCTACACTCTCATGACCCTCACAGCATGGGACAAGAGGGCCATGGTCACCTCACCTGAGATGGGTTCAGCTGTGGAGCTGAGCCCATCCAGCCTCAGGGAAGCTTTGGTCCAGCCTTTCCTGCCTGACCAACTATGGTACAACCAAGACCAGCAAAAGGGCCGGGACCAAGGTGTGTCCCCGGCAACCACCAGCACTTTGGGCCTGCGCTGCTCCGGCCACACCCGGCCCCATGCAGGAGCCAGCAGCCACTCCCTGGGCTAGAGGGATGGTGGGAAGTGTCACAGAAATACAGAATATTCTGAATTGGAATGGACCCACAAGGATCATCGAGTCCAACTGTTAGCCCTGCACAGGACCATCCCCAAGAGTCACACCATGTGCCTGAGAGCATTGTCCAAATTCTCCTTGAACTCTGTCAGGCTTGGTGCTGTGATCACTTCCCTGGGGAGCCTGTTCCGGTGCCCAAACACCCTCTGGAGGAAGAACCTTTTTCTAATATCCAACTCAAACCTCTCCTGACACAAGTTCAGGCCATTCCGTCGGGTCCTGTCACTGGTCACCACAGAGAACAGATCAGCGCCTGACCCTCCTCTTCCCCTCACGAGGAAGTTGAGGACCATGAGGAGGTTTCGTCCAGGCTGAATAAGACAAGTGATCTCAGCCACTCCTCAAACGGTTTCCCCTCTAGACCTTTCACCATTTTTGTTGCCCTCCTTTGGCCGCTCTCTAATAGCTCAGTACTGCACACAGTATTCAAGGTGAGGCCGCCCCAGTGCAGAGCAGAGCGGGGACAATCCCCTCCCTCGACCGGCTGGCGATGCTGTGCCGATGCCCCCCAGGACACGGTTGGCCCTCGGTGTCACGGGAGGGCTCTGCTTATCACGGGGCGTTCCAGCCGAGTGGCTACTCGGAGCTCAATATCCCGGGAAGCACCAGGGCTTTCCGTCCTCTGCCGGAGCCGGGAACGTGGGGGCCCATACGCGCCTCGAAGAGCAGCAGCAGAGCCCGGCGCGGGGGTCCCGGGGGGCGGCCCCGGCCCGCGAGGGGCGGTCGGGGGGCGGTGTCGGAGCCGCCGCCGCTCGGCCCCGCCCGGCCCGCCCCTTCCGGGCCGCCCGCCCCCCGCCCGCCCTTTCTCTCCGCCGCGCCCCGGCGATGGGCAGCCCCGGTGCCGGCTCCGGCAGAGGACG